AAAAATAGAATGTGGAGAGTGATTAAAGAAGACACCCAATGGTGACCTCTAGTGTCCAAACCAAATAAACAGAAACGGGCTGAGAGATGGTTCAGCAGTTAAGAGCACTTGGCTGTTGATGCAGAGGATCTGGGTTCAGTTCCCAGAACCATATAGTTACCCTGCTTCAAAAAAACAAAAAAAAAAAAAAATAGAATGTGGAGAGTGATTAAAGAAGACACCCAATGGTGACCTCTAGTGTCCAAACCAAATAAACAGAAACGGGCTGAGAGATGGTTCAGCAGTTAAGAGCACTTGGCTGTTGATGCAGAGGATCTGGGTTCAGTTCCCAGAACCATATAGTGACTAACAACCATCTGTAATTCCAGTTCTAGGGGATCTGATACCCTCTTCTGGCCTCTTCAGATGCATGTGGTACACTTACATAGACCCAGGCAAAGCACTCACACGTAAAATACAAATAAAAATTAAAGAGAAGCCAGTATGGTGGCTCCCAGCACTTGGGAAGCAGAGGCAAGCAGATCTACATGAGTTCCAGGCCAGCTGGGGCTACAAGGAGACTCTGTCTTAAAAAGACTCCCTGCCCCCGTCCCCAAATTAAGAAAAATAAGAAAGCACCACCACCAAGTCACAAAGTCTGCTGGTTTTTGTTTTTTGGGTAGGAACGCTGATTTTATCCCCAGCACTTCTTTTCCTTGTTCTACCCTCCACACTCATTATTTGGTTCCCTGCAGAGGTCCCCAGCATGCAAGACTCACGTACCCACCCCATGGATCCCAGAATGCCTTTAGGCCCTCGAGTGGTCTCAGGTGAGAAGCTGAGTCCCAGGCGTAGGCCCCGTCACCTTTGAGTCTGGGTTCCCTGGAGGTGGTCTAGGGAGTGGTCCATGGGGACCGAAGAAGATGGTTCTCAGGTAGATATGGGAGGAGGCTGAGGAGTAGGTGGTTGTATCACAGTGGCCTTTCTTTCTCTTTTGTAGACTCTAGAGACCAGCGCTGGGCTGCTCAGGAGCAATTCCGGACCCAGAATAACCCTAGAGGGGGCCAGGGCCCCCACCTGTCAGCTCCAGGCCTCGCCCCATCTCTGCAGCAGCTTCCACACCGGCCATCCCTCAGACCCAGCTCAGGGCCCCGTGATTGCAGATACAGCCCTCACGGGTGCTGTCCTGATGGCCACACACCATCTCTTGGGCCACAGTGGCAAGGCTGTCCCCTGGCTGTGTCCACATGTCAACAGAGCAGGTGTGTTGGAAGCAGTTCTCTCTCCTCAGGTCAGCGATGATGGGGCGAGGCCATAGTGTGTGTATGAAGAGGGCATGGTAGGTGAGGCCAGCATCCTTGCTTGGGGAGGCTTGCCCAGCTCGTATCAGGATTTCTGAGTTTGAGCCCTCCAGCACTCTAACTATACCATCTTGGGGGACTTGCTTTTCTTCTGATGGGTTTCTAATATGCCTACTGGGGACATGGCACCAGCCTGTGAAGAGGCATTCTAAGGCCAGGAACAGGCATGGTGTCTCAGATCCATGCTAGGCTCAGGAGCCCAATGTGAAACTGGTTAAATCCCAAGAATCTCCTACCAGCCCACTCCTCCAGCCTTGTAGAACCCCTTTTCTACCTCACCTCATCTCCTCCTGGCTATTACTTTGCGAAAGCTCAAGCATAGGTTAGTTCCAGGGTTGCAGTTGCCACTGGCTGCTGGCACTTGCACGGCTACATGTCTGTCTAGGTACGGATGCTGTGCGGATGGAGTGTCTATGGCTGAAGGGCCCCATCAGGCTGGTTGTGCCAGGTCTCGTGGCAGTGACAATACTGGGAACAGGCCAGGGTCCAGGGCAGTGGTTTCCACGGTAAGTGTTTGATTCATGTGGCAGGAATCCAGCCCTTGAGGCTGCTCTGTGCCACCTCTGACCTTGGGGAAATGAGGTCTCTGTAAGACTGCTGTCCTAGGCTTCAGAGATGGGGCTGGGCTGAGTTGGGCTGCATTCTTTTGGCCTCTGATCTCCCCCTGGGCTGGGGTTCTACATCTCTGGCTGGCAATTCTGTCCCACCCCTCTTCCTGCTGTCCTCCCCAACAGCTCAAGCTCCCTGCTGAGAGCCAAACCTATTCCCAGTTCCCTTGCCTTCCTCTCCAGATCCCCAAGACCGACCAACCCCAGGCCCAGGAGGGCGAGCTCATTGAGTGCCGTAGCTCCCAGTTTGGCTGTTGCTATGACAACATGGCCTCTGCAGCTGGTCCCCTGGGGGAAGGCTGTGTGGGTCAGCCCAGCTATGGTGAGTGGACACCCCTGTCTCTTATCCTTCCTGCTGGGTGGTCTTACTGGGTCCCCAATCCCCATCCATGGCCAGAGACCTCCCTATTGCTCATTGACTTATTTCTCCCCTATATGTGAATGCCTGTTAGATGCCAGGCCAGAGGACCATGCTAGATTGTTCTTGCATCTAACATCATTTGCAGTTGGCTGCTTGTGGAGGCTGGGAGGATTGTAAGTGAAAATCCCAGGACTTGGAATGTAGTTCAGTTGGTAGCATGCAAGCCTTGTGTTTGATCCCTGGCACTGACTAAACCAAGAGTGGTGGTATACACCTGAATCCCAGCACTGGGGAGGTTGAGGGAGGAGGATCAGAGGACGTGGGTCAGTTCAAAGTTATTTGCAGTTGGCTGCTTGTGGAGGCTGGGAGGATTGTAAGTGAAAATCCCAGGACTTGGAATGTAGTTCAGTTGGTAGCATGCAAGCCTTGTGTTTGATCCCTGGCACTGACTAAACCAAGAGTGGTGGTATACACCTGAATCCCAGCACTGGGGAGGTTGAGGGAGGAGGATCAGAGGACGTGGGTCAGTTCAAAGTTATTTGCAGCTACATAGCATGTTAAGGCCAGCCTGGGATACATAAGAGTTTTCTTCTTCTCTCTCTCTCTCTCTCTCTCTCTCTCTCTCTCTCTCTCTTCTCTGAGCTCTGTTCAAAGCAACCTCTCTGCATCACCATGGCTAGGTCTCTCCTGATGCAAGGGCCCATAATTCTCTTTTCCTTATAAACATAAACATATTCTCCTGTGTCAGGACTCTAAGCAGCCTTCTGAAAACTACCAAAAAAAAGTGGGAATCCCAAGTGAAAATAAAGTCCATCCTGTGTTCAGGAGTCAGGCCCTCCCTAGAGCAGAGGCAGGGATAGGGTGGTGGTGGGGCCAGGTGTCCTGTCCCTGCCTGGGTAGAGTTATGGAAGCTGAGTTCAGAGGGAGGTGGGATGGGAGGTCACTGAGGATGGTGCATGGGTAGACCTTCCTCAGTCTACTGTGGGAAGAGATCTCCAAACTTAGACAGGTAGGTAGCCAGGGCTCAGAAGGAGGTTAGGCACCTGTAGGACAGGTAGCCATGGTCACTCAGAACATGGAGAGATGGAGCAGGCCATCCTGGTTAGCAGGACTGTGAGGACAAGCAGGCTGGAAGCTGGTGTAGGGTCCTGGGGACAAGGATGGATCTCCTGCTGGGCATGTTCATAGCTCCTGGTAGGGGGGTTTAGTGAGGTCAAGCTGTGGCTGGTCAGTGGAGCATACCAGGAGGCCAGGCTGGAAGGGGCATGAGGGAGACTGCTCAGGGCCCTGTCTTCCTGGAGGTTCTAGTTCGGTGTCAGTGGAGGCTGCTATGGCTCAGTCTGGGTGAGTCTGGGACAAATCCTGGGGGTTTTGTAATCCAAGGACTGGATCAGGAGCCCTGGCAGGTATAGTCATGCTCTATAAACCAGGACAGATGTGGCCCTGAAGTCTGAGGATAAAGGTTAGAGTGCAGTATTATCACTGGCCACCTGGGTGACAAGTTCCATCCCTGCTCCACAGCCTATCCAGTGCGATGTCTGCTGCCAAGTGCCCATGGGTCCTGTACAGATTGGGCTGCCCGCTGGTACTTTGTGGCATCAGTGGGCAGGTGTAACCGCTTCTGGTATGGCGGCTGCCATGGCAATGCCAATAACTTTGCCTCAGAGCAGGAGTGCATGAACAGCTGCCGGGGACACCATGGACCCAGCCGTCCTGAGCCAGGGGTCTCTGGCCATCATATCCACACAAATGGTGGCCGTGGTGGTCCTGGAGGTCAGCAGGAGCCTGGCTGGCACAGGACAGGAGCCACAGTCCCACGATTGCCCTCACCTTCTGGAAACTCCTGGTGGAGAGAGCAAGAACCTGGGCCGGGGGAGGCACCCCACACCCAGGCCTTTGGAAAACGACCTGGAGGCCAGGAGCTCAGGCCCAGGGTCCCTGGACTGGGTGGAGATGCTAGACAGCCAGTGCCACCCACACACAGTTCCTCCTACAGGTGAGGCCTGCTTTCCCAGGTCAGAGATACAGTGCCCAGGCCAGGGTTGAGGTCAGCCACTTCCTCCCAGGTCTTACTTCTGATCCCAGATGGCCCTCCTCATGGGTTTTGTCATCTTCACACTCCAGACAGAGAAGCCAAGGCTCTGGAGATGCAGGTTTTGCCAAACTATCAGCTCTCAGATTCTTTGTCAGACCTTGCCTGAGGTCTGTGTGGCTGGAAAAGCTTGCTAGCTTCATGGCCTTTGGCAAGCCATCCATCTTCTCTGAGTCTCTGTTTCTTAACCTATAAAACGGTGATACTGTTTCTGGACCTGAATTATCTTGTAGGCTTTGGTGTGGGTTCTGTTATTTATTACTTAAAAAATATTTTCTTTTATGAATGTATTGCCTGCATGTATGTAAATGCACCTGAGTCGTGCAATGCCTGTGGATTCAGGAAAGGGCCTTAGATCCTCTGGTACTGGAGTTAGGGATGGCTCTTAGCTGCCATGTGGGTGCTGGGAACTGAACCCTAGTCCTCTGCAAGGGCATCCAGTGGTGCTCTTAACCGCTGAGCCATCTCTCCAACTCTGCTATTACTTTTGCTGGGTCATATTTATAGGGATTTGGGGAAATAAAATTAAGAAACTAAAGCAGATGCTTCAGGGATAGTGTATAGGTCAACTCCCCACATGCATCATAATGTGTGGTCCTGCCTCAGCCTCCTCTGACCCCCTGGGCTTGCTGCCTTCCTTGTTGCTGTTGCAGAACTGGATGAGAGGCAATGCCTGAAGGTGAGGCAGAAAGTTGGGAGGGCTAGAGTCCCAGACTTCTGAAATATGGCTTTCCTTGGGACTCTGGCCCTATAAATGCTACAAGAGAGAGTCCCTGGCCCTGTTCAAGTGCCAAGAAACAGATCCTTCCCTTCCACCTCTCCAGGATCAGCTTGGCAGGCTCTGAGCCCTCTCTGGTACAGGCAGCCCTAGGGCAGTCGGTGCAGCTCTTCTGCCCTGGTGACATCTCCCTGGAACTTCAGGCTGTATGGAAGAAAGGTGGCCTGCCCATCTCCTCTGACAGGTATGTGTAAAAAGGAGGGTTCTATCTCCTATGTGTATGATGCCATTTCCTGCAAAGGCCCCTCTGGCCTCCCTTGGGAGTATGAGCGGGCTCCTCTGGTAAGACCACTGGGGCCAGAGGGAGGACTCATTGCTTTTGGGAACCCAGAGATCACATCTCCTTTCTCCATTCAGGCACTGGTTACAGTCAGATGGCTCCCTCGTCATCAGCCCCCTGCAGGCAGAGGATGCTGGCACTTACAGCTGTGGCAGCCACAGGCCAGGCAGTGACCCCAAGAAGATCCAGCTTCACATTCTAGGTCTCTGTCTGCAACCCCTGGGGTCTCTCAGGACAGAGTCATACTTGAGAGGAGGGCCTGGGGAAGGCCAACCTACCTTAGAAAGGCCTAAAGTCTTCCTTGGATCGCCTCCTCTGGGGTTAGGGATGACCTAGTGCCCTTATTTCTCCATTTGTCCTTGCTGGCCTCATGAGTCCTCTTTCTTCTACTCTCTTTACTCTAAAGCTCATATTTAACTTCCTCTGACCTCATGACAGGAGGTGACATGGCAGTGCTGTCCGAGATTGAGCAAAGGAACTTTTTTCAGACCGGAGACCCAGCCCAGGGCCATGGTGCTCCAGACCCTGGTATAGGAAATGCAGGCGGCCGAGGGGCTATCTCCTCCACACACCGTCAGCCTGCTACCAGGTAAAGCTTAGCATGCACGACACTCTCAACCTCTCTCAGGGTTCATGGTCTCAGCTGGGGAGAAAGGCATGGTGTATGCTGCCCAGAACTCTGGGAATCTGGGAGATGTTGATTAAAAAAGCCTGAGCTGGCCTTGAGGAGTGGTTCCATTCTCAGAGGGTAGGTGGGGTTGTAAGGAATGTCTCAGTTAAGGGCCTGGTGGCACATGTGCAAGGCACGAGAGTTAGATGGAGGGACTGGGGTGTGTTTAGTCAGCAGAGGTGGGGGTGAGAAAATTCTGGGGCCTTTCAGACTTTACCCCAGTTACTTAACAGTATTGGTGTCCTAAAGAGAACTGAGAGGTTGTTTTAGGAAGCTGACACTGACTAGAACAGAAGGGGCTTGTGCAGAGGACCCCATGGGAGTGGGAAGAAAGCAGCACCAAGGATCTCTTTTAGCCTTGAGTGACTTATTTTTCAGGCTTCGTCTGGACCGGACTCAGCCTGGCGTGGTAGATGCCAGTCCAGGCCAGCGAATCCGGCTGACCTGCCGTGCTGAAGGCTTCCCAGTCCCCACCATCGAGTGGCAGAGAGATGGACAGCTGGTCTCTTCCCCCAGGTTGATTCAGCCCCTCTTCTGCCATCCTCTCCTGCTTTCTGCCCCACCCTGTCCTGCAGAGACAGGATTCCAGGCTCTGGAGAAATGGGGCTGGGGTACAGGGCTCCTGGGCCTTTCCAGAGTGTGGCTAGTGGAAATGAGAGGCTTTCTGAGGGAGCCAATGAGCCAGCACAGCTCTGGCCGATCTCCAGTGCTGACCTTTATTGAGCATGTACTGAATATGAGGCCTGTTCTTTGTTGCAAAAGCTACAAAGGCACCATGTTGAAGCTGGCACCTCTTCTCTCCCATTTACATGCAGGAGCTTAATAATACATAGCTCACAGTAGAACCAGGTTTTGAGCCTACCTGAATATGGCAAAAGCTAGAAATTAACGAAATTTGTGTGTGCTCAAATGTGTGTGGGCACATAAGGATGGGGGCCAGATGTAAACCTCAAGTATTGTTCCTCAAGAGCCATCCACCTTGTTTCTTTCTTTTTAAATATTTTATTATTTTTGGTATTTTTGAAACATGGTTTCCCTGTAGCCCCAGCTGGCCTTGAACTCACAAAGATCCACTCACCTCTGCCTCCCAAGTGCTGGCACTGCAGGCGTGTGTCACCATGCCCAGTTTATCTATTTTTTATGTGTATGAGTGTATCACCTGCATGTATGTTAGTGTACCCATGTTGTGCAATGCCATAGAGGTCAGAAGAGGGCATTGGATTTCCTTGGAACTGGAGTTAAGGACGGTTTGTAGCCACTATGTGGGTGCTGGGAATTGAGCCCAGGTCCTCTGCAAGAGCAGCAGTGCTCTTAACCGCTGAGCCATCTCTCCAGGCCCTATTATTATTTTTTATATGTATGAATGTACTGCCTGCCTGCATGCAAGTATACCCTGTTGTGCAATGCCTACGCAGGCCAGAAGAGAGCATTGGATCCCCTAGAACTGGAGTTACAGGTGGTTGTTAGTTGCCATGTGGGCGCTGGAAACTGAACCTGGGTCCTCTGCAAGAGCAGCCAGTGCTCTTAACCACTGAGCCATCTCTCCAGTCCCCACGTTATTTCTTTGAGACAGTCTCTCTTTGGCCTAGAGCTTGCCAAGTAGACTAGGCTGGTGGGCCAGCAAGCCCAAAGTATCCACTCACCTCTCCCTTCCCAGTGCTGGGATCACAAGCATGTAATTCCACACCTGGCTTTTTCTTTTTTTATGTGGTTTCTAGGGTTGAACTCAGGACCTCATATTTGCAAGACAAGTACTCTACTGACTATATGAGCTCCCTAGCCCCCTTCTTTTGTTTTTTTTTCTGAGATAGGGTATCACACTCTAGTGTGATAAATCACCATGTAGCCTAGATTGGCTTCAAACTCGTGACAATCCTCCTGCTTCTGCTTCCTGAGTGCTGGGAGTACAGGCATGGGCCACCACACCCGGCCCAAAATTGTTTTTTTCATCAAAAACTATAAAATGGTGTTATTGGGTTTGAAATCCAGGTGTAGTCAAGTGCTGGCAGCCAGACTGTGTGAAGGGCTGAGGCCCGGCAGCTCTTTGCCTAGACTTCTTTGAACAGTAGGGGCTATTAACTTCCTCCCCACTCCTGCCTCTCCCAACCCCAGCTCTGCCCCTGCTTGGGCTGAAGCCAATTGGCTCTGCTTGGTCCCCAGGCACCAGCTGCAGCCTGATGGCTCTCTGGTCATCAGCCGAGTAGCTGTGGAAGATGGTGGCTTCTACACATGTGTTGCTTTTAATGGGCAGGACCGAGACCAGCGCTGGGTCCAGCTCAGAGTTCTGGGTAAGGAGGCAGTCCTGAGCAGGGCCAATGGCTTTTAGGACCAAGTGGTTTGGGGGAGTGGGGTAGCATCTGTCAGTGGCTAACAGTGTCTCTTTATGCCCAGGGGAGCTGACAATCACAGGGCTGCCCCCTGCTGTGACAGTGTCAGAGGGTGACACAGCCAGGCTGCTGTGTGTGGTGGCAGGAGAAAGTGTGAACATCCGGTGGTCTAGGTAAAGTGCTATTCCAGCCAGTACCTGTTCTTATGACTTCATTCTGCCAATGTCACTGTCACCACTGCCCGTGCCTTCTTCCTCTGAGGCCATCCTACACCCTAAATCCCCATAGGACAGCTTGCTTTTCCATTGGCTGGGCTGTACTAGGGGGTTCCTTGTCCCAGCCTGTGCACAGAGGAGGGTAAAGCTTTAGATCTGGAAGAGATGAGGAAGAGGTCAGGGAAGTGACTGTGGCTGGGCCTTAGCAGTGGGAAGGATACTCTTGGGAGAAGCAACAAGTGGTCAAAGGCAGGTTTTTCTAAGAGGATGCACTGGTAGAAAGTTACGGTCGCATGTTGGTCGGCCTCTTAGATGGCCTCAATGCCAGGGGCTTCAGTGTTCTGCCCCCTTCACAACATGGGTTATCCATCTTGCTGTCTCTCCTGATCACTGCCCTACCTGTATGCAGTACCTGCTTCAGGGGACAGTGAACTAGAGAGTCTGTCAACCACCTGCTCCTTACACACAGGATGGACTCAGTCTTCACTTGACCTTTGGTGTTCTCCTACTGACCACTCGCTGCTTCTCCAAATACTCCCTTCCCTTGGCTCCTGTGAGTTGCTGACTCTTGCTGTACTTCAACCTGTTTGTGCTAGTCTCACTCCACCTCACCTTGGACAACCTTGGAGACACACTCTTCCAGAGGTCACCTCATGTGGCTACACTTCTGGGACTGGACCCTTGAGCTCCAGATCTGAACTCTGACACCTCTTGGTATCTCACAGGCATCCCAGATTTAAAATAGTGGAACAGAATCTTACCTTTTACTCCTTTCTGCTTGGAAGGTGCCACTGTCTCCCAGTAGTCCAAGCTGGGTTGCTTCCTCTCCCCTACCTCCCACATCTGACCATCACCTGTTTCAGTGCCCTGTCATCTACACTGTGTGCATGACACAGCAGCTGCTCCCTGGCGTGCTCTCCTTCCAGGTTGCCCCAGCCGGTTCCCTTCAGCTCAAGCCCCTCCAGTTATCCCCAGAGCCCAGGGACTGGCTTCCACTCCCTCCTGCCTCTCCTTGCTCTGGTTGTGGCCTGCCTTCAAGCTCCGCAATCCCTACACTCTGCTACTGCCTCTCCTCCCCACCTATCCTTTTTTTCAGGGAAGGTTCCCTGAATGCCTGTGCTTTCCTCTGTGCCCTAGAAGGTGCTAGTGCCTCTCATCCAGCACAGGAGTTGGCATTTGTATGACAAACCAGGGTGGCCTCCTTCGTGGATCCCAGGCAAATTCATAACTCAGATCAGTGTGCTTGGTTGTGCTGTTTTGCTTTGGTAATGTTGTCCTGCCTTTTCAGGGAGCCCGTCCCCTTGAGGTGAGGGAAGACTGCCTTTGGGATAAACTTTGATGTATTCCTAAGGCCTGAAGATCAGAGGCCCTGAATGGCCTTCCCAGTGTCCTCTCCCCTCCAGGAATGGGCTGCCAGTACAGGCTGATGGCCACCGTGTACACCAGTCCCCTGATGGCACACTGCTGATTCATAACTTGAGGCAGAAGGATGAGGGGTCCTACACATGTAGTGCCTACCAAGGGAGCCAGGCTGTGAGCCGCAGTACTGAGGTGAAGGTGGCCCCTTCAGGTGAGAAAGGTTTGTTCTATAGCTTTACTGTCCCCAGGCTGGCTGAGCACCGAAGGTCTTACACTGAGCAGTCCAGGGCTCTAGTTCTCATCTATGGTCAATCTGGTAATGTGGCTGGGGGCCAGGGGTTTATTACCTCTCCTGAGCCCCTCTTTCCTCCTCCATACAGTGAGGCTACCCCACCACCCAAGACTGAGGTGAAGATGAAGGAAACAGTGCTCAGGCTCTGTGATTTAGACTTACTAACTTTATTTTGAAAAATAAGATTGGCTAGAATAATGCTTAAAGCAGATGGACCACTAAAATCTGTCCATTCTAATCAGAGTGGCAAAAGATCCTATAGGGTTGGTGATGTAGCTCAGTGGTCACATGCTAGCCTAAGTTGCAAGGCCCTAGGTTCCATCCTCAGCACCACGAAAAATAAAAGGCTTTTTTTTAAGATAGGGTCTCCTTGTAGCCCCAACTGGCCTGGAACTATGTAGACCAGGCTGGCCTCGAACTCACAGAGATCCACTTTTCTCTGCCTCCTGAGTGCTGGAATTACAGGTGTGGACCTCCACACCCGGCCTAAGGCTTCATTGTTTTAAAAAAAATCATTTATTGCTGGGCGTGGTTCCGCACGCCTTTAATCCCAGCACTGGGAGGCAAAAGCAGGCTGATCTCTGTGAGTTCAAGGCCAGCCTGGTCTACATAGTGAGTTCTAGGACAGCTGAGGCTACAGGGAGACCCTGTCTCAAAAAGAACCCCCCCAAAAATATTATTTTTATTTTCTGTGTCTGAGTATATTGCCTGCACGTATGTAAGAGCACCCATGTTATACAATGCCTGAGGACAGAAGGACAGCTGTATACCTGGCCCAGTTAAGTTCTTGACATAACTCACATAGTTCTCACAATACTGCTTTGAAGCAGATGCTATTATTCTTTCCATTTCAGACAAGGAAATAGGCTCTGAGAGTGTAACTTGCCCAAAGTTACCTAGCCTGCTAAGTGATAAGTGTTTTGAGACAGGGTCCCACTCTGTAGCCTTGGCTGGCCTGGAACTGGCTTTGAGTTCACAGATCTGTCTGTCCCTGCCTTCTGAGTGCTGGGATTAAAGGCAGCACCTGCACCACCACACCTGGCTGCTAGATGACAGTCTTAACTACCATTTTGAGCACCTACCATGCCAGGCCCAGGGGCTCCAACAGTTCAGATGAATTGAAATCAAAGTTTCAGATTTTTAAAAACAATACATACACATGACTTTGCTGTAATGTAAATGTAGGGTGTTAGTCCTTTGGTTATGCTGACATGCCAAACCTTTCTAAGGCTACTCTGGTTGCGTTTGGCCTTCCATGGTGTCTTGTGAAGGAATAAAGGGGCGGTGAAGATACTCAGCTATGTGTGGATTGGTTCTAGGGACAGTGCTGTACAGAGCCTTCAGAAAAAAAAGAGGGCCATCCATTGGTGGGATCGGGTGGCAGAATGAAACATATGAGATGCTCCTAGGAAAACTGGGGGGGTGGTGGTGACAACAAGGGCTCTGTTATCAGTATAGCCTTAGAGCCAAAGTTAACAAGACTTGGAATAGTCACTGATTTCTCTGGTAGAAAACCAGGAAAAATGAGGACATAGGTGAAAAAGACAAGCTGGGGATGCTGAAGGTACAAAACTTTGTGGAGGCTGGAGGAAGCCAGTGGTGACAGGAAGACAACAGCTCTTACTGACATTTTACTTGGGCCTGACCTACCTACTCTTCCTTCTAATCCAGAGGTCAAGGCAGTTGTCATGTGGCTCCTCACCTCTCAATAGAAAGGGCAGGGCGTTAACCTCAAGAGATATGTTCAGTTGTCTAGTCAGTAAATGGGAGTTTGGGAAGGGCTATGCACTGGGCCGAGGTCACAAATAATCACAGGAGGACCACTGAATGCTTACAGTGAGTCCAACAAGTGCTGGGACACTCACAGATCCTGCAGCACACACAGAGCCACCTCACCCCTTTCTCTCTTCTTTGCTGCAGCACCAGACGCTCAGTCCAAGGACCCAGGCAAGGAGTGCATCGATCAGCCAGAGCTGGCCAACTGTGCCTTGATCCTGCAAGCCCAGCTCTGTGGCAATGAGTATTACTCCAGCTTCTGTTGTGCCAGCTGTTCCCGCATCCAGTCACATGCTCAGCCTGTCTGGCAGCAGGGATGAAGGCTGGATTGTGGCTTCAGGTCCGGATAGTTTGCTGGGGAGAAGGGAAAATAAGACGTGGCTTCCTCTCTCTGGCCAGCAATCTTTCAGATACCAGCCCTTTAAAAAAAAAAAAAAAAAAACAAAAAACAAAACAAAAAAAACCCCAAACCCAGTGATAAGCCTCAGCAGCTGCCAGTGCCAGCCTCCTTCTGTAGTGCTCAGTAGGGCCTGTCTGATAGGACCACAGTCTGCTGTGAAAGAGTAAACTGCTTGGGTAAGGACAGCCTTTCCTTTACAGCTTCCCTTTATAATTTCTACTGCTGTTGAGGATCTCTTATCTGAAATGTTTGAGATCAATGTTTCAGATCTTAGAATATTTGTAGACTTTACTGATTGAACAGTCCTAATCCAAAACTCTGAAATACTCTGAAATCTGAAACACTTGACTGGTGCGTCAGCTCTCAAAAAATTTCAAGTATACTGGATTTTGGGTGAGGGATGCTTTATCTATACAGAAGATAAACTTCCTGCAATGCAAAGCAAAGTAGGAGGAGGGTAAGGGAAATTCCAATTGCTCAGTTACAGAAGTATTCTGTGCTAGAACCCAATGTCCTTGAGTCAGATGGTGGTCTGTCACCCCAGTCTTTCTCATGTTCCTAGGGAGTGGCACAGCTGGCTTCAACACCATCACTGTATGGGGCTCACAACACAATGCTTGTGAAAACTCTCAGCAAGGTAGAATATAATCGTAGGCCTCAATATGGGGATCCTGGATGAAAAATCCAGTTAGCATTGCCATTTAACATGGGAAAGCACCCTGCTTCACTGCAAAGCTGGACTCTGAAGCCCTCCTGGGGCTGCCCTGGAAAGCTGGCTGGGAAGGTGCATGTGCCTCCTTTTACAGAGCTCACTGGCCTGCTCTGAGCAGTGATGAGAAGCCTCTCTTCCTTAAGCTGAAGTCTGTATTTGTTGCCAGAGAAAACCCAGACTATTGCTGAAAACAGCAGATGGAGGCTGGCAAGATGGCTCAGCAGGTAAAAGTGTACACACACACACATACAATTCAAGGTCTTTAAAATAACAGCTAGGAATGGTGGTCCATGCCTATAACCGGAGAATTTGGAAGGCTGAGGCAAGAGAGGATTGCCATATGTTTAAAAGGCCAGCCTGGGCCAGAAAATAAGACCTTGTCTCAAAGCAAGCAAGCGAATATACAAACAACCTACCCCAAATACACAAAAACAAAAAACCCAACGTTAGCAGAATGGGGAAGTCAATGGTTGCATTACAGTAGGGAAGTGGTTTTTGAAGAGTTTGAGCTGCAGGGAGTCATCCTTTATCTTTTAGAATCTCTAAATCTTTTTTTTTTTTTTTTGGTCTTTATGAGACAGGGTCTCCCTGTAGCCCCAGCTGTCCTGGAACTCACTATATAGACCAGGCTGGCCTTGAACTCACAGAGATCGCCTGCCCCTGTCTCCCGAGTGCTGGGATTAAAGACATGTGCCACCACGCCCGGCTATAATTCTTTTTAACTGCTGATCGATCTCTCCAGCAGAACCTCTAATTTTTTTGATACTGAAAGAAGAGCCTGGATTCAATTAGCTTTCAAGGTTCCCTGTCCCTCACTTTAACTCTATAAAGTCCTCCAGAAGACTGCCTAATAACAAAAGTTGTTAGACATTGCAAAGATAGATATTACTGGGACCAAACCTCTGAAAAAGTGACTTTTTTTTTGTTTGTTTTTTGGTATTTTTTGAGACAGGGTCTCCCTGTAGCCTTAGCTGTCCTGGAAATCATTACATAGACCAGGCTGGCCTCAAAGTCACTGAGATCTGCCTCCCAAGCACTGGGACTAAAGGCGTGCACCACCACGCCCAGCTTGAAAAGTGACTTTAATTACCAACATGCTGGCTAGTAGATAAACCCATAACATGGTGAATCATGCTTCTCAGTCCCCACCCCTCATTCAAAAAGGAAACAGCAGTCTTTCTTTAAAAAGTACTGAGAATTTCTCTCTCTTCCTAAGGGCCACTTTCTTAGGCCCCTCTGTTCAGTGAAATTGGAATTTGGCCTGTTAGCACATATATTTCAAAGGTTGTCTGTTATGAGCTAGCTGTTTGCAACTAGTCCTTCTTAGAAGTAGTATAGAAATGAGTGGCTAAGTTTAGAGGTGAGGGGGAAACTACTGTAGACCAGTGGTTCTGAACCCTATCTTATACTGAAGGCTTTAAAAATAAAGAACAAATGAACTTGGCGAGCCTGACTCCCCACTGAAGTTTTGACTTAACTGGTTTTATGGAGAGGCTGGGTATTAGGATTCTTTTTTGATGCTGTGGGATTTATGCATGCTGAGTTCACATTTCACTAGGCTACACCTCAGCTGTGGGTTTTTAGGCTTTTAAAAACTCCCTAGAGAATTCCAATACACAGCTAAGGTTGAGAAGCACTGCTCCACCCCTGGGCTGGGCTGAGATTCTGACTCTCTAGCTGGTTCCAAGGGGCAGGCAGTCCAAGCTGCTGCTCTGTTGCATATCAATCAAACTTTGAACACCAAGAACCAAACCTCAGAGATCAACCAGAGCAGAAAATATTAATTTAAGGATATGCTAGTCCCAATAAAAGATCTTGAAAAAGAACTATAAGTAAAACTCATTTTCTTTCTTTTTTTTTTTTTTGGTCATTTGAGCCAGCGTCTCTCTGTAGCCCCAGCTGTCCTGGAACTCACTATGTAGACCAGGCTGGCTTTGAACTCACAGAGATCCGCTTGCCTCTGCCTCCCAAGTGCTGGGATAAAAGGTATGTGCCACCACGCCTGGCAGTAAAACTCATTTTCAAATAAAGAACAGCCTTTCACAGGCAAAAGCTTCTACCACGAACATTTATTTTTGTTAAAGCAGATTATAAATTCTTGTCAGTACAAATATATATATATATATATATGTATATATAACTTACATTGTAAGGCCAACGTTCGAAAGTAAAAATGAGATGGGATCTCACGCTGTTACCCGAGGTCAAGTAGCTGCAACTGGCATGGGATGTTCTGTTCATGGCGGGGAGGAGGCAGACATGAACAAAGCAGATAAAACCAGAATCCTCATCCCCTAAAACTTATGGGGACAAAATTTAAAGGACGAATGCCACCAAGACGTACACTACAAACCAACACAGTAACCTGCATTCACTTTTGTGGATATGATGTCACTGTCACCTTAGTGCTAAAGGATTAACATAAGGAAATTGCAACAATACATAAAAGATAACACATACTAGAGAGTCCCTAGAGCATAGATTGATTCCATTAAAATGATATTAGAATTTCACCATAGGTTTAAAACCAGGACAACACTGCTCTTTCATTTTCTTTATTTAAAACTACAACCTAGTGACTGTATTGGACATCAGTATGATTGTTGTTGCAATGTGCTAGTTACAGTGAATGATCACAAACAAGCTAGGGATCCTGCCTGCAACTCCCAACCCTTCCTCTTTTTACTTCAATAGGCATCAATGATAAATCAATCTTATGTACAATTTCTTACAACTAACCCTTTTAGTTTTGGCAAGATTACTTACAACTCTTACAAGTTTTTAATATTGAGAACTATTTAAAATATTCTAAATGCATAAAAATAAAGATTTTGGCTTTTTGATATATATTTATAATATTTATTTTGTTACTCAAAATGGAAGCTCAACTTTACCCCCCAAATCTAGCTCTGCTAGGCAATGGCTGATATGTACTTCTGGGAACCCTGGCAGCACAGCCTGAGCACAAGCCACACAGTTCTTGATCTCGGACAGGCCAGTACTGGGAAGAGCAGGTGACTGGCCTGAAAAAGAAGGGGAGATTGTTTTGCTTCCTGTTATGTTTTATATTCCAGTAAATGTGCTTTGAATGCAGATTCCTGTTCAGATACTTCTGCCTCTCTGTTGCCAGAGATTTGTTAAGGGTGTAAGAGAGGAGGGGACAGAGAGCAACATTTCCTTGACCTAGTCAAGCTGCAAGGAAGACTTCTCTAGGAATGGTTCTCCCCACTTTTGTTGAAATTGCCACTTACTGTACTCTGTGCTTGAACTTGCTTCTTGGGACCTTTGGGATTAGTGAAGAGTGCGCTGACCAGGAAGACAAAGTTCCCTTTGTTCCTTTGCCCTCTACCCCCTGCCCTTGTCCAAGTACAGATAAGATACATAAGCCAGAAGAGATTGTCTCTAAAGTTCAATTTCAAATGTCTTCTGCAAGTCACTGGAAAAGGGGTTGGTAGGGGAGGGATTAGTACGTTGCTTGGACTTGCTTTCTAATGCAGCCCACTGAGCTTCGAAAGGATCCACTGGGCAGGTGCCTATAGGAACCTCTGCGTGCTTATTTCCTGAGGTCAGCCTGCCATCCTCTACACCATTGAAAGCTGCAGAACCGTTGAGGTGCTGAGCAGGTTTAAAGAAGGGACTGGTGGTAGCACTGCTTGTCTCATACTGAGGGAATGTCTGCTGCTTGGTCAGGCTTGGTGACTGATGGGGATGAGTAGCCTGAGGATGGCTTGCCGTACCAAACACATTGGCTACCATCTGGGAGGGGGTGATGCCCACTACAGGCACATTTGAGGCTGGATAGGGCATCCCGTTGGCCACAGGATAGGACTGGGAAGGGACAAAGGCTGGCTGCAAGGGTGGGACCACACCCCCTGGCACAGGTTGTGAGGCGAGGAATGCATTTCCTTGGAAAGGAGGTGCTGGCTGGGCAATGGCAGTGGGTGGAGGAGGCTGGAGAACTGGCTGCAGAGGAGCAGCTGTGGCCTGGGGCTGCTGGGCCCGGATGCTCTTTGATACTTCTTCTAACCAACGGTCAGCCTCAGAGGGAGTGCGTCTGTGACCAGCCTGGAAGAGACCTGGAGAGGCAGTACCAGAAGACTGACCCCACTCCATCCCTAAAACCAACGAGAGAAAGAGAGACAAAGAGTCAGTGTCGCCTTCCTCACCTTGGGGATCTGGATGATTCTAAAATGTGGAACAAGTCCCCCTAATGGGCCATTTTGTGGTTCTGGTAGTGAGATCAAAGCACTACCAGCCAAGTAACATTTTTTTGTAGGACAAAGAGAACTTGTCATGCTATTTCAGCCATGCTGAGGAGCTGTTCAGATGTGGCTCAAATGCACTGAACCAAGGCAGCTAGCTGGAGTCCGAAACTCTTTGTTGTTGTCATGGCTCATCCATAGTACTGAAAGTAGCTTGTTAACACTCTGATGGGTTCAAGGAGCTGGGCATAATGGTATATGCCTGCAAACCCAGAACACAGGAGGCTGAAGTCCAGGGCTACATAGCTAGGTCCTGTCTCAAAAATCAAACATTAAAAAACAAACAAACAAAACAAAACATAGCTTGAGTGATTCAACTTTGGTTTAATAGGTCAAAAAGAAAATAACCAGTGACCTGGCTATACATTTCTGACCCTGGCTTGGTTTCCAAAAGTAGGTTGTCTTTCTGATGCAAAACTACCAGCATTTTAAAATATGAGGTTTTAGTTCTGCCACTGCAGGGTGCTTTCTTATACAGGCAGCTATATACATTAACATTAGTGATATTCTCTGGGGTGGGGCTCCAGAATCTGTTTTATTAAAGCTCTATGAGTGGCCTGGTTCTGCAATCCTAAGAACTATCAATCTAATACCTTTTGTTCCCCAAAGTTCACAATCTCTTCGTCATAGCTAGTTATTTCTAGGAGGGAACAGACTTTTCCTAAAAGGATTCTTCCCTAATTCTTACTCAGATAACTGGCTGACTTTAGAACTAGAGTTACTTATCTGCTCCCAGAATCCTCACCAACATATGTGGCCACCTTACCCGGATGTATGGCTGCAATTTCCTTGTTAGCAGCATCAGGGACATGGGCCCAAGGGTTGGTTTCACGCACAGGCATTGCTACGGGTGCTAGAGCAGAATGGGCTGGCTTAGCAGTAAGCACATGGAAGGCTGAGTCAGTGCCATTAGCTACAATGGGAGCAGACAACATTGATGGAGTTAATTCATGCAGGGTGTCCAAGCTACCCCATGGGGATGGGTCAGTCAGGCCAATGTTCACTATTGGTAGAACAGACATGACAGAACAGTTGATGCTTTGATGATCATGCTATCTTGCAGTTGGATATGCATACCTTTTAACAAAGAGGAGATTGTATTAATTATACTGATAAATGACTGTTCTAGAAAAATATGTATATGAGAGAGGAAATGGAGCCTACAAATACAATTTCAAATTAAGTTGAACATAGTTGTCCATATAACTTAGTCTTTGGCTTAAGTAAATAAAGCACTTCATTCTTCTGCACTTTTCTAAAAAGCTCAAATTAAGTACACAATAATATGGGTTAAGTATAATGACTTCTTATTATGTTCTGGGCATCAAGCTAAAATATTTTATGCCCAGTTATCTAATTTAATTCTTTCAGAGACTCATAAGGGCTGGCACTAGAGGGTAAGTTCCCAGATAGTCTACAGATGCTTAAAACTTCAGGCAATACCTATATATACTGTTTTTACCTATACATACATATATACATACCTGGCATAAAAGTTTAATTTATAAATTAGCCATGCTGAAAGGATTAATAATAATTATTATAACAAAGTTATAATAACATAGTTATTTAAAACCAATGAATTCTTTATTTCTGGAATTTTCTATTTAATATTTTGAGACAGCAGTTGACCACAGGCAACTGAAACTTCAGAAACTAAACCCATGAGAAGGGTGCCTACTATATTACTGCTATATAAAGGTGAAAAATCAAATGGCTTATGTTTTCATTTGTTTTAATACATTTGTAATTGGCTACAAAATTAATTTTGTATCTCTTTTTGAAGCTGTCTCCCTTATGTGTTTATATTGTAGGTCAGAGGAATATCAATTCAAAATATCTCAAGAGCTGGCCATTCTTCCCTAATGTCTTTTAATGAAGATCTTCTAATCCTTGTTCTTTTATCAGCTTCTATTCTGTATTCCAGCTGTCATATTTAGTATGGAGCAGATGAACACCTTCCTCTGACCTACAATATAAACTCTGCCTCTTTAGAACTGGACTACCATGCTTATGGTGATGGTACTGTTTACCTGGGACTTTTCAGAAAAACTACCTCAGCTGGAGACTAGAAGCCCCTTAAAAGACAGAGAAAGGACCATGCTCTGTTCTGTTTTGCATGCCCAGTGCCTTGCAGACAGACAGCATTGGCAGAATGTAACAGGTACACTTTCAGGAAGATCGTGTGTAAATTTCAGTTGTATGGTTTGGGCAATTCACTTAACTTCTTTGAAGCTCATTTTTATCTGCAATATAAGGGCTGTTGTGAGGATTAAATAGAACAATGCATGAGGGCTTGTCACATGTAGCAGGTACTGTTAAGGGGTCAATATAGTATACAGATTTTTTTCTTTTTTTAAATTTCTTTTTATTTTATGTGTATAAGTGTATTGCCTGCATATGTGTCAGTGCACCCATGTTGAGCAGTGCCCACGGAGGACAGAAGTGGGTGTCAGATCCCCTAGAACTGGAGTTATGGATGGTTGTTAGCCACCATGTGGATGCTGGGATTCGAACCTGGGTCTTCTGCAGGAACAGCCTCTTAACTGCTGAGCCATGTCTCTAGCCCCCTTTTTTGGTCTTTTTTAAAAATTATTTTTATTTTATGTGTATGCGTGTATTGCCTGCCTGTATGTAAGAGCACCCGTGTTGTGCAATGCCCGTGGAGGACAGAAGAAGCTGTCAGATCCCCTCGGACTGGAGTTACAGACAGTTGTTAGCTGCCATGTGGGTGCTGGGATTTGAACCTGGGTCTTCTGTAAGAACAGTGTTCTTAACCACTGAGTCATCTCTCCAGCCCCCTTTTTCATCTTTTTGAGACAGGGTCTCTCTGTGGCCCCAGCTGGCCTGGAACTCACCATGTAGACCAGGCTAGCCTCGAACTCACAGCGATCCATTTGCCTCTGCCTCCCAAGCGCTGGAATTAAAGGCATATGCCACCACGCCCGGCTATACCTATTTTTCCTAATATTATGCTTGTTAGATTAAAAAAAGCTATTTGAAGATATAAAGAGCACATAATTACACATATTTATTTCAAGAATGAAAAAGAAATCGAGAACCTGGAATTAAAGTCTATGGTAGTTTCTTCTAATAGGAACAGTACTGTCCACAGGGCAAAACTTTCTCTTATGTTCTCTCTCAAAAGAAATGGAAAAGGGCAACAATAAGAGCTCAACTTTAGAAGTCACTAATTTAAGTCACAGAAATTCTTTGTTGATCTCTGAGTTAGTATTCTAATTCAGTATCTCTAAAAAAAAAAGAAAAACTTATAGGAACTCTTTAATGTCACAAAGGCAAGTTTTAGGATACTTGTTACAGAACACAAAATGACCTAGAGAGCCAGAGGAAATGCCTTTTTCCTTATAAGCCTCTCCAGGGTAGAAAGGAAGTGAGTCCAGGCTCCTTAACTTTGACACCACAGACATTTTGGGGTGGGTAATTCTTTGCTGTGGGTGCTGTTCATGGAAGGATGTTCTGCAGTATCCTTGGCCTCTATACAGGTGCTGTAATATCACCCACCCCCAAATTTGTAAAACCTCAAAATGTCTCCATTCAATGAACGCCAAATTTCCTAAAGGGAGCACAACTGCCCCTGGCTGAGAATTGCTGCACTAAGGGAGGCACAAGGCCAGAACCATTCCTGACAGTTGATTTTAGAAAGCTGGCTGGATTCACTGTCCCTGGCAAACAAAGCAGTGGACTGAGGTTATAGGAACTCCTAATAGAAGGAGATGAAAGAGAGACATACACATGCCAAACACGGCGTGCAGACAACTTAGGAGACAGGACAAGCACAATGGTGCTGCTAAGCAGGGAGATCAGTGACAACAGCAAGCTCAAGATGTCAATTTCCAGTTTGTGAGCAGCAGGCTAACAGGACTATTTTAACAGCCAGCGTCAAAGGGAACCAACCTTGCAAGGCAGGAGATTGTGGTGCAACCACTGGTTTGGTCATTGGGGCGGAGGAGAAGGGGTCCTCAGAAGGTGTGCTGAAGGCATTGGTGATCTGTGAGCATAGGGAGCTGATGCTCTCTGCCTCTCCTTCTACCTCTGGTACTGCAAGGCAAACAGAAAATGGTTCTAGACAGAAAAATCCTGAAATAGGACAGTATAGCATAAGCTGCCACTTTTCTTTTCTTTTGGAAGGATAAGTCTCAACTGTCTGACAGGGCTTCAATAAATACACTGAGAACATTTCATTGACTTTTCGGATGGGAAAGTATAAGATGTCAGTAACTCATGCACTAAGAGAATTTGGTGTTTTATTATGTGAAGATGCTTAGTTAGCTGGATCTTTCTGGAAGATGCCTACAACTTTTTTACCTTCTAACCAGTTCCTATCAGCTATGATTCAAGTTAAGTTCTAGAGCCATTAAGTAATCTATCAGAAAAATCGAGTTAAGTTGGAGCACCAGAGGACACTCAGAGCTTTACTCTGTAATAAATTAGGATAAGGTCACTGGCTCTCATTTTCTTCAAAGTCTCTAGTACCAATATATGGACTGTAGAATTCTAAAGAGTTTTTTTGGGTTTTTTTTTTTTTGAGACAGGGTCTCCCCCTGTAGCTCCAGTTGGCCTGAAATTCACTATGTAGACCAGGCTGGCCTCAATCTCACAGGTATCTACCTGCCTCTGTCTCTCAAATGTTGGGATTAAAGGCTTGGCCACAGAAAAATTTTTTTTTTTTTTTTTTTTTTTTTTTTTTTAATTTTGTGTGTATGAGTGTATCACCTACATGTGTGTAAGTGCACTTGTGTTGTGCAATGCCCTTGGAGGTCAGAAGGCAGCGTCAGATCCCCTGGAACTTGATCTACAGATGGTTAACCATGACATGGGTACTGGGATGCGAACCCAGGTCCTCTGCAAGAGCAGTCAGTGCTCTCAACCACTGAGCCATCTCTCCAGCCTAAGAGACTGTTCTTAATATTGATTTTGGGAAGCCAGGAAGATTGCTTTTGCCAAGGAGTTTGGGATTTTAGGGATTGTTTGTCTAAAAAAAAAGCCCTAATCATGTGTATTGAAGCTTTACTCATCTGTGAAAAGAGCCTCATCTGTCCCAGAGGGAGACTGAAAAAAATGATCTGGAGTCTATTTTTAAAGGTACTGAAGGTGAAAAGATTCCCTGTGATCACCTAGCCCAACTGTTCTTTAAGCCTAGTTTCATTTGTCAAAAAACTTTCTGTACTTTCATACCACAGTCAGTGGACATGCCTACTGAGATAGAGATTCCTTACCTTCTGTTAGAGTGATAGTTTGACATGCCTCAGAGAGAGTATAATAGGGCCAGTAAAAACACTGATCATATCTAACACCAGTGCTGGGTCAGATGAGGATAGAGCTTACAGTCTGGCTCAGCTGAACAGAGGCCACACAGAAGTCTGTGTGGCAGTCTGAAAGGTGAAGAATAACTGTGAGGAAGCCCACTGGCTCTGATGAACAACAGATCTTAGATTTGTACAAGAGACCCATTTAGAGTTTCTTCCCTATGAAGCTAACCTACCACAAGGACAATGAACACATCTATTTTTTCTGTTTCATCTGAAAGTGGTGCTATTATCCTGTCAACGTTTCTAAAGCCTCTTTAATTCTCCTGGTTCACAAACAGCAAGAATAACAATGGAAATCTGGAACCCTTGATGTTTGGGTACAGGCTGGCTGGCTGAGAGGTAATTAGTACATCTACCTCAGGACAAACCATAAACCTTGTGGCTCAAGCTAGAAATTCCATTATGACTCTGTCAACTCCTTGTGGAAGAGAAATTAATTATTTACATCCCCTCTAAGGATCCCAGTTTGCTCTAATAGGAAATGACACAAGATATAACTATCAACCAGCCTCAGAGGAACAGAGGAGTGACTAGCTTAAAGGGACTTGTGTTGCCACTGGAGAAGGTGATGGTGCTTCAGGGCTAGAGTATGTTACCTGCATTTTTTATGGGGAAATCAGTCTTCCTCTGCATAGTGGAAGGCAACTCATTGATGCGCAGGGATAGTTGGCGTTTAAAGGGTGACATCTTCTGGCTAAGAGCAGGAAATCCCCGGAAGGAGCCTTGGCGAGCAAGCTGTTCAATTGGTGCATGCCGACGTGGGATGGCATGAGGATTGTTCATTTCCAGAGAGGCAGTGGCATCCAAAGTGGGAGAGGTGGGAGAGGATGGGGATTGGGCACTGCTGCCAGGAGCCACTGAGGAACCAACAACTGTCTGTTCTGTTTCAGCTCAAGAAAATTAAGAGGAAAAAAAGACCTTAGATCTTAGCAATGATCTTCAGATATATATATATATTTGGTCTTTTTGAGACAGAGTCTTCCTGCAGCCCCAGTTGGCCTGGAACTCACTATGTAGACCACACTGGCATTGATCTCAAAGATCTGCCTGCCTCTGCCTCCCGAATGCTGGGATTAAAGGCATGTGCTACCATGCCCAGCTTCAAATTTATTATTATTGTTTTTATTTTATATGTATGTGTATGAGTGCATTGCCTACATGTGTGTAAGTACACCCGTGTTGTGCAATGCCCGCAGAGGTCAGCAGAGGGTGTTGGATCCCCTGGAACTGGAGTTATGGACGTTGTTAGCTATGATGTAGGTGTTGGGAATCAAACCCTGGTCCTCTGCAAGAGTAGTCAGTGCTCTTAACAGTTGAACCATCCTTCTAGTTCTAATCTTCAAATATTTTGAGTTAACAGAGCTGAGGACTCAGAAGCCCTCTTAATTCTTTTACTCATCCATGTCCCCATGTCTCTCAAAAGAAAGGTTGGAAAATGGTTCATATCTCCTACTTTTTAGACAGGTAAAAGTTTAACAACATACTACATGGCATATTGCCTATATTTAAGACACAAATATTAGATCTTTTATTCTCATGCAGTGATTTATAAATGAAAACTGAAGAGACTTGTGGGGCATGGTGGCGCACGTCTTTAATCCCAGCACTCAGGAGGCAGAGGCAGGCGGATTTCTGAGTTCAAAGCCAGCCTGATCTACATAATGAGTTCCAGGCTGGCTAGGGCTAAAGAGAACCTGTCTCAAAAAGACCAAAACAAACAAAAAAACTGAACAGACTTAAATAACCCAGTACCAATGGCATCTTCATGAAAGGTCCTTAAAGAATGACAATTTGGGTGTTGGAGAGATGGCTCAGTTATTAAGAGCATTTGTTGTTGTTTCAGAGGACGGAAGTTTGATTCCCAGCACCCACATCAAGTGGTTTACAACCCCTCTAACTCTAGCTCCAGGGGATCTAATATCCTCTTTGGGAATCCACAGACATCTGTACTCATACATGCATACACACAGAGACACACAGACACATGTACATATAATTAAGAATAAATCTAAAGCTGGGTGTGGTGGCGCACACCTATAATCCCAGCACTTGGGAGGCAGAGGCAGGCAGATCTCTGTGAGTTCAAGGCCAGCCTAGTCTACATAGCAAGTTCCAGGCCAGCTGGGACTACAGAGAGACCCCGTCTCAAAAAGATAAAAAACAAAAAACAAAAACCACCAAAAACCAAAAAAAATAATAAATCTAAAAAACAAAGAAAGAATAACAATAAGGATGTTGGTTCATCTAGATGGTTAGATCCTATTGCTGAATATACCACATGTTCTAGGCACACAGAAATCAAGTTGGAACTGGGCTGGAAACCTCCTTTCTACTGGATAGCCCTTATGGTACTGCAAAGTGATATGTAGGCTGCAGGGGAGAGACTGTTCAGTGTTATTCAGCTTGTGAACTCTGTACTGATTGACCAGGCAATATGTGCCTGCTGGTGCAATAGTGGAAAATCTGTTACTGAGGTTAACTAACCACTTTCTGATTGGATTTCCAGCCTACTACAAAAGAGAGAATTCATGCCTGGTACAGTAAAACTAGTCAAAGCCTACAGTCCAGAGGGTATGGAGGGCTAAAATTTGCTTATACATTAGGGTTAGGGCGAGGTGAGTTTTAGGGGTTAGGGTACCAAAAATTAAATTTATTTATTTATTTTTTTGTCTTTTTGAGACAGGGTCTCCTGGTAGTCCCACCTGGCCTGGAACTCCCTATGTAGACCAGGTTGGCCTTGAACTCACAAAGATCCGCCTGTCTCTGCCTCCTTAGTGCTGGGATTAGGCATGCACCACCTTGTCTGGCAGTAACTAGGTTTATACCCATAGATTAGTGCTGCTGTTAGCTTTGGTCAGAGAAGCGTTTTTTTAAAAAATAGTGGTCAGTGGTACCAGAAGAGACTTATAACTTACCAAAGTACTGTGAGTAAAGTGACTGTTGAATGCTCAGTCACAAACGGGGCATCTGTTATTACCTCCTCCAAAGTTCAAGGAATATCACGGAAGAAATATCATAGAAAGAATGTAAGAGGGGCCGGAGAGATGGCTCAGCAGTTAATACTGGTTTTTCTTGCAGAAGACTCAGGTTTGAATCCCAGCACCCACATGGCAGCTAACAACAGTCCATAACTCCAGTCCCAGGGGATCTGACAGCCTCTTCTGACCTCTCCAGGCACTGCATGACACGGGTGCACTTACTTACACGCAGGCAATACATGCATACACGTAAAATTAAAAAAAAAAGTTTAAAAAAAGAGAATGTTAGAGCTAGAAGAGAGGGGAAAGTGGTGTGGAATGTGGACTTCATGGTATGACATAGCTGTTGCACTCCTGAACTCACAGAAGCAGTTATTATTGGCATAAGACCTACACAAGACTGGGCCCGGGCCCATCAACATCTTAACATGAAGTGGGGAGGGCTTTGTTGGATCCCACTGCTCCCGAGGATGTACAAGAAGTTAATGGTTGATAGGGGAGGGAAGAGATGTTTTCCTCATTGGTGTATCCACTGGCAAAAGTGACCATACTCCTCTGTGCTCCTGTAGGCAACCCTATAGAAACTCATTGGATCATAAAAAAAAAAAGAAAGAAAGAAAGAAAGAAAGAAAGAAAGAAAGAAAGAAAGAAAGAAAGAAAGAGAAAATAAATAGTTGAGAAAAAAGACATTAAAGTAGAAGGGGGTTAGTTTGGAAGAAGGGATCAGCAGGAGTGGGAGGGATAAGGGAGGGTGATAGGGTGTGAATAGGCTCAAAATATATCCTATGTATGAGATATAAAACCCATTATTAATTATCTATAATTAGCATATGCTAATAAAAAATTATCACCCCCAAATAAAATGATTCCTATATCCAATGTTTGTGGGGAGGGGTGGGAATGATTTTGAGAGTGACAAAGTTAGAAAGATCTAATTAACTATATGCAAATTTGATTAGGGGATCCAAATATGTCATAAACCAGTCTTTAAATCATAGACAAAATACATTTGTGGCTCATTTGAATAAAAGGATGCAAAAGGAAAGTTTCAAATTGTGTTAAATGCAATGTGCCAGTTGGTTTTTGTCAACTTGACAAACTAGAGAACCTCAACTGAGGAATCCCCTCCATCAGACTGGTCTGAGGCCATCTCTCTGGGGCATTTTGTTGATTGCTTATTGATATAGGAGGGCCAAGCTGACTGTGGGCTGTCATTCCTGGGCAGGTGGGCCTAGGCTGTAGAAGAAAGGGAGCTGAGTAAACCAGAGGAAGCAAGTCACAAACAGTGTTCTTCCATGGTCTCTGCTCCAGTTCCTGCCTTGGCTTCATTAATAATGGACAGTCACCTGTAAGCTGAAATAAACCCTTTCCTCTGCAAGCTGGTTTTAGTCAGTGTTTTTTTGTGGTGATTTGAAAAAGAATGCCTCCCATAGGCTCCAAATATTTGAGTATTTTGTCCCCAGTTGGTGGTGCTGTTTTGGGAAGTCCTAGAAGGTGTGGCCATGCTGGAGGAAGCAAGTCACTGGGGGCAGGCTTAGAGAGTTCTTAAGACTTGCCAGATTTCCAGTTGCTCCAGTTGTGAGTGCTTAGCTTCTGCTCCTACTCTAGTCACCTCTGCTGCCATGCCTCCCCACCATGATGGACTCTTGCCCCTTTGGAACCATAAGCTAAATAAACTCTTCATTTTATAAGTTTCCTTGGTCAGGTGTTTCTATCACAGCAACAGAAAGCAAATTAGAACATCTAAATATAAGACTGTTTCCACATGAGTATCAGTTGAGTCTCATTCTGATTATGGAGAATCTTTATTCCAGCCTTCACAAGAATATCCTTTCCAAGGCCGGGCATGGTGGTGCACGCCTTTGATCCCAGCTCTTGGTAAGCAGAGGCAGGTGGATATCTGTGAGTTTGAGGCCAGCCTGGTCTACATAGTGAGTTCCAGGCCAGCTGGGGCTACAGGGAGACCAAAAAAAAAAAAAAAAAAAAAAAAAAAAAAAGAATATGCTTTTGCTTTTAGGTAGTTGTGGTGGCACAAGCCTGTAATCCTAGCACTTGGGAGGTGGAGGCATGAGAATCAGGAGTACAAGGTCATCTTCTGTTACATATTGAGTTCAAGGCCAGCGTGGACCCTGTGCCAAAAAAAACCCAAACCAAACCACGTCATACCCAACCCAACTTAACAGACTATGGAGTACCTTCAATGCTTGTACAGGCCTTGTTACTATGATGCCATGTATAGCTAAAAAGCTCAGATTCTACAAAATCACACACTAAAACTAAGCGGCTATGGGAAAGAAGGGTTAACCTCTCAGAATCTATAGACTTTTGTGACTAAAGGATTCAGGATTACAGTAGTAATATAATCAGCACAATATCTTTGTTAGATCTCTGCCAGCATCATAGTCAGTGTTCCCTTTGCAACCCTAAACCCTCTTCAACTGCATTCTCACGTTCCCTGGAGAAACATGACAGAAAGAAAAAATGATTTTTAAGCCACTCTAAAAGGACTTCTGTAGAATTTTCAGCTTTGCAATTAAAGTCTTCGTATATTGTTAAGGGATGTGTATGTGTGTGTTTTGGGGGGCAGGGGGGGTGGATGCTGGAGATAGTACCAAAGCCTTGATAGGAATGCTCTACCACTGAGCTACATTCTCAGCAGCAAGGGTTCCTTCTGATTATAGAAAACTTGTCTGTGACAGCTTCAAAATATAAACCTGTTGGGAAAACCTGTATTAAATAAAGACACTGTAGAGGAACATACTGTACCTTTCTTGGCATCTTGCAACTGTTTCATGATCTCTTCTCTTTCGGCTTGTTCAGTGGTAGTTGTGACACGGAATGATCCTTCTCGTGTAAAAGTGGTCCGACTGGCATCAAAAGTAGCAGTTACTCCACATTCCTTCTCCCGTTTCTGTTTACGCTCTAAACAGGCTGCAAAAGCACAGCCTACTGCATGGCTCAGTCTTTCACCCTGTAGAGAGCAGGTTTTTCAAGCTTTCTGGGAGTTACAGTACAAACAACTACATACAAATACATATTTTTATAAAGACAAAAATGTTGCACATTCCAGCTTAAAATTACATTCCAAATTAATTTAAATAAATTATCCTAGTGCTTATGAAATATTTCAATTACATTAGTTGTTACTTGGGTATAATATGAGCATCAGCAACTTGTGCTTCTGGATACAGCCACAGGGAGCTCCTATCACTAAGGCTCTGGCTACATACTGCTTAAAAGTTCTACATCTTTATATTCAAAACTTTCAGTTGCCTGCCATCATCATTATTATTATTATTATTATTATTATTATTATTATTTTGAGACAGGGTCTCCCTGTAGCCACAGCTGGCCTGGAATTTTCTATGTAGATCAGGCTAGCCTCGAACTCACAGATTCACCTGCCTCTGTCTCCTGAGTGCTGGGATTAAAGGTATGTGGTACCACACAAGCTTTATTTTTATTATTTTTAATTATGTGTATGTATATGTCTGTATGTGGATATGTGCATGTGGGTACAGGTGCCTGTGGAGGTCAGAGACATTGGATCCCTCTAGAGCTGGAGTTACAGGAGGTTGTCAGTGACTCAATGTGGTGCCTGGAACCAAACTTGGGTCTTTTGTAAGAGCAGTATGTGGTCTTAACCACTGAGCCCTCTCTCCAGTCCTCCAGCTGCCCTTTAAAAGGGGAAGAGCAGAAATATTTGCCAGGCATTTCTAAGAAACCACTGGAGAGGCAGGGCAAATTTTAGAAGCTTAAATATATTGCTAACATATCTAGGAAAAGAAAGATATAAACCTAAAATTTCTGATAAATACAGCTCCTGATTAGAAAGGGAATCAAGCAAAGGAGAGCTGCGCTCTGTCTCCCTTTTCTCAAGTCCTTTTGATGCTTTTCCTCATCCCTTCCTATTCTTCTAGCTCTGTCACTCATTATTACACTGATTTGCTTGTGTGTAGGAAAATAATGGAGTTTTTATAAACACTATTTTATAGATACATTCAATCACCCAGAACTTAACCAATGAAATGCATTATTTTTATCAGTTATTCATATTTTAAACCATACTGTTATTGTAGAATAAAAAAGTTAGGAGTTGGAGAGATGGTTCAGTGGATAAAAGCACTTGCTGATCTTGCAGAGGATCCAGGTTCAGTTCCCTGCATCCACATGGCAGCTAATAACCATCCGTAAATCCAGATCCAAGAGGTATGATGCCTTTTCTGGTCTCTGTGGTCACCAGGCATGCATGTGGTTCATATACACACATGCAGCAAACACACACATAAAATAACTGTTGGCATCACTCATAGTAAGAAGCATTATCTGGCAATAGGGAGGCTTTTGTGGTATTCTCAAATTTTTACTATATGGGCAGCTGCTCCTACATACGGCTGTGAATAAACCAGTTTAGTGGATTTTACATGCTAGTATCAGATATCATAAGAGGAGGTAGTGTTTAAAATACTTGTTTGTAAGATTTTACATAACTGGGTCTGGAAAGATGGTTTAGTGGTTAAGAGCCCCGGACTTGGGTTCAGTTCCCAGCACCCACATGGCAGCTAACAACACCATGTTTCACAACTCTAGTTTCAGGTGATCTGACACCCTCTTCTGGCCTCTGTGGACATTGCATGACACAGGTGCACTTAGACACATGCAGGCAAAACGCTCATACACATGAAATAAAGATGCATTTAAAAATCCATTTTTTTTGTCATTTTGAGACAGCATCTCCCTGTAGCCCCAGCTGGCCTGGAACTCACTATGTAGACTAGGTTGGACTTGAACTCACAAGATCTGCCTGTTCTACCTCCCAAATGCTGGGATTAAAGGAGTATACCACTACACCAGGCTCAAAAAAATTTTTTTTTATGTAACTATAAACCTTTTGATTGCTTATGTAAAGACTGGTAGACTTATTCTAACTTCTCAGTAGTGTGATGTAAGGTTAGGGTATTAAATCATGAAAGGGGAGTAAAGTGTGTGTGTGTGTGAGAGACTTTTAGGAGCCATTTGTAGCTGAGCATAGCTCTATTACAAGGACAAAGCTTCTCCCTCTCTCTCTTTCTGTTTCCCTTCCCCTCTCCCCACCATGTTTTCTTTACATATATAGTCTTTAAGAAACTTGATACTTTTCATCATTGACTAATTGTAGCTTCACAAATACCTTATTTTGTCTGAACTTCCAAAAACCCAGAAATTAGCCAGGCATGGTGGTTCACACCTGCAATTCCAACACTTCGGAGGCGGACGCTGGAGGATCAAGAGCTCAAGACCATCCTCAGCTACATAGCGAGTCTGAGGTAAATCTAGCTATATGAGACTGTGTCTCATAACAAACCAAAAAAACCCAAAAACCCCAAAACAAAAAAGGGTGGTAGATGAATACAAAGACATTGTGTTGTCTGGATACCACAGGGAAGTTGAATATAATCCATAGCACTTGTGACAGCATGCATGAGACTCAGATCAGATTGGGATCTAGCATGGATGGGGGAGGTGGGCAGGAGGCTCCAGCTATAGCTAAGGATCTACTGGCATTTGATGGTTGCTGGGAGAGGAAGAGTCAGTTTTCTTTACTAGTGTGATACCTGATAAGTTGACTGGACTCCAAGGGATAAAGTCACAGCCAAGAACATTTGGGAAACATAGGTTAGACTCCATGGGCAAAAACAAGGCTCAATGGTTAATAGTCCTGGCTGTTCTTTCAGAAGATTCAAGTTCAGTTCCTAGCATCCACATGTCGGCTCACAAATGTCCGCAACTCCAGTTCCAGGAAATTGACACCTTCCTCTGGCCTCTGAGGGCACTGTATGACATGGGCACACTTAGATACACGCAGTCTAAACACTCATACACATTAAATTAAAAAAATTTTTTTAAAAAGACAAATGATAATAGGGGACATGAAGTGGAAGAGTAGTAAGTGGGGGTGGAGCAGGCAAGAGAGTCTGAATATTATCAAAATACATTGCATGAAATTCTCCAATCAATAAAAATATTTTTAAAAAGAAAAACAAAAATCACCTCAAAAATTATATACTCAATGCTAGGTGAAGAAGAGGCAGAGGCAGGTGGACCTCTGTGAGTTCAAGGCCAGCCTGGTCTACATAGTGAGTTCCAGGCCAGCTGGTGCTACAGGGAGACCCTGTCTCAAAAAGACCAAAAAAAAAAAATTTTTTTTTTTCTTTTTATGTGTATGTGTGTGCACTGGTGTGAAGTTATGTGCACCATGTGTGGTGCCAGAAGAGGGTACTGGATCCCCTGGAACTGGAGTTACAGAGGGTTGTGAACCATCTCTCTAGCACCAGGATTTTCAATTATTTACATGAAAGATGAAATTATTTCCTTTATCTCCCCTCTCTCTCCAGGGTCTCCTTATGTAGTCTAGGCTGGACTTGACCTCAGTTGTCCTGCCTTTGACTCTCAGTGCTAGGATTACACTATACTGGACTTTTTTTCTTGGCTGGCAGACCAAGACCAGCAGACCAGACTGGCCTTCACTTTCAGTGATCCTCCTGCCTCTGTTTTTAAGTGTCAGGATTATAGGTATGTGCCACCACACTCCACTATTCTGGCTTTAATTTTTTTTTCCAGCCCCCTTAATTAATATCTATTTTTTTTTTTTTTTTGTATTTTTGAGACAGGGTCTCCCTGTAGTCCCAGCTGTCCTGGAACTCACTAGGTAGATCAGGCTGGCCTTGAACTCACAGAGCTCAGCCTGCCTCTGCCTCCCAAGTGCTGGGATTAAAGGCATGCGCCACCATGCCTGGCTTATTATTATTATTTTTAAAACTGTATTTATTATTTTTATTTTATGTGTATGTGTGTATTGCCTACATGTAGGTTAAGTGCACCTGTGTCATGCAATGCCTGGGGAGATCAGAAGAGGCTGTCAGATCCCCTGGGACTGGAGTTATGGATAGTTGTTAGCTGCCATGTGGGTGCTGGGATTTGAACCCAGGTCTTTTGCAAGAACAACCAGTGTTCTTAACCTCTGAGCCATCTTTCCAGCCCCTATTATTTTTATTATTTATTTATTTAGGGACAGGGTCTCACTATGTAGCCTTGGCTGTTCTGGAACTTGCTGTGGAGATCAGGCTGGCCTTGAACCCACAGAGATCTGCCTGTCTTTGCCTCCTGAGTGCTGGTATTAAAGGTGTGTGCCACCATGCCTGGCATTATTTTTTCAACACAAGATTTTATGGCTTGGCTTACTGGGCATAGTGTTGCCTAGCACTTGGGTGGCAAATGAGAAGTTCAAGGCCAGTCTGGGCTACATAAAACTCTGTCTCAAATAACAAAATGAAACATACACAAATGTATGTATAAGGTCCTGGGTTTTTACCTCTAACACTACAAAACAGCAAGAAAGAAAAATAAATATACTTCCAGCCAGGTGTGGTGCCTCAATGCCTATAATCTCAGCACTTAGGGGGCTGAGGTAGAAGGACTGTAGCAAGTTTGGGGTCAGCCTGGGTTACAGAGTGAAGAAATCTTGTCTCAAAATAAAAATAAATAGATAAATAAAAGGTCAACATGAATCATTTTCTATTACTGCTCAATCTTTTAATTAAAGTATTTTCCAATTCAGCTATTTCATTTGTAGCAGCCACCTTGAATAAGTTTATAAATATCTTTCATGCCTGAATCTTCTACCTAGATGTGTTAGCAAACAAACATACTTCAGAATTCTGAGAACAGGTGGATGTGGTGGTACATGCCTGTAGTCCCAGTTGCTTGGCAGGCTGAGGCAGGAGGATCTTGAGTTCAGGGAACCACAGACCCTAGTCTCAAAAAAAAAAAAAAAAGTGCAAATACTTTCATAATTAAAAGCTCCAACTGAAGTTTATCGATTACTATTACCTTTTTTCTCCTCCTCTTCTCCCCTCCCTGTCCTTCTTCCCCTTTCCTCCCTCTTTTCTTTCTCTTGTGGTGCCAGGGACTGAACTCAAAGTTTCTACCAATGAGCTACATCACAAGCTGACCAGGGTAGTTTTAATTCTCCTTTAACCACTCTGGATCTCAGACACAGGCTTTGTGACTTGCCACTCACAGGTTTGGAGCAAGAGTGAAAATTACTTGAATAAAGGGAAGAAAATCTTACATAAAATGGCACATGTACAAGTAGCCTTCATACCATGTGCTTATTAAAAATGTAGAGGAAACTGCTTGGCTCTGACTAGCTGGAAGGAGCTCAGCTGAGAACCCTCATGATGGAATATACCATGTTGGACTTACCGTGTCCTTGACAGCCATGAAGCAGTGACAAATCCAGCGCCGAGTGGTGCCATCACGACATATGTAAGAGAAGGCTCTATCAAAGTTCCTATCTGGGGCACAGAAAGAAACTTTCTCTATTGTCTGGTCAACTATGAGGTCCTAGAAAACAGGAAGCACAAAGCAAGAAAGGCCTTAGGAGGTATTCAGTCTTCTCAGAATAAACAGGACATTCATTTCACATTATAGAATCCCCACATAAGCTGAACCTAGACCATGGAATAGCTACATCTGTATCTAGTAGTTTGGCTCAGGAAACATTACCTTGCTCAGAAGGCTCCCTCACTTTACCTCCATCTTCTAAAACATGTATCAGTTGGTTCTAGTTCTAGATCTCTTTCATGGAAATTCCATGTTTAATCTGATAATAAATTAAATCAATATATTTAATATAGCAAAAACACGATAGTAATATTCGTAACACCTTTGTAACACATATTATGACAGTAATATATCCTATTCCATACTCTACCTTCTTCAACTAACTATATATCCCCATCCAGTAGATTTATAAGTTCAAGTGCTATATTTTTCAGGCATAGAGTTTCCATTTTCTTCTTTTTCATAATTTCTCTGCTGAAAATTTTCTAGCTGTTCATGCAATATTAGTATCTTTTCCTTTACATCACTGGGTATAACTGTAGTGCCTGCTTTGTAATTCATGTCTGCTAATTCCAACACCTAGATTATCTTGAGGTTGTATCTCTATTTTCTCTGTGAAGAAGAATCACACTTTTCTGTTTCTTTGTATGTTCAATTATTTTTCACTGCAAATATTGTATGTAGAGAGCCAGGACTCCATGACTTAGAAGTGTTGCTTTTGGTTTTAGTAGGTAGTTGATCTAAACTCAAAAGGATAACGCTTACCTTTTGAACCCCAGGTCAAATTACAGTTTTTATATCTTTAGCTGGGCTATCAGGAGTCTGCCTTACTCCTGGTTACAGGATGAGAGACTGGAGTGGGACTCACACACAGACTTGGGGCGGAGTCCTCCTCTTTGGCTCTCTTACTGCCAGAAATTCTCCTTTTATTTTCCAGTGACTATTACCTCAAACTCTATCTTCTGATCTTTGTAGACCAGAAAATAGAGTTTTTATTAGCATTTTGGCTTATACCCTATAGTACAGATTTGGGTCTGTCTTCAGGGTAGTGAAATGACAACCACCCATTGCCATTTTCTTCTTCCAAGTGTCCAAATTTCCCTCCAGAATCTGCCTGCTTCAGTGCCTTCAAATAACTGAATTGTTTGGGTCAGAATTCACAGCTTCTTGCTGGAGGGTCACCCCAAATAGGAGCTGCATGCAATCACTGCTAGAAGTGAAATACTGACGACACTTAAAAATATTTAAATTCTTGGGGCTGGAGAGAGAGCGCAGCAGTTAAGAACACTGACTGTTCTTGCAGAAGACCAGGGTTCGAATCCCAGCACCCAAATGGCAGCTAACAACTGTCCGTAACTCCAGTTCCAGGGGATCTGACAGTCTCTTCTGTCCTCCGAGGGCACAAATAAAAATAATAAATAAAATATTTTAAAAAATATTTAAATTCTTTTTTCTTCATGGCACTGAAGATACTTTTAAAAAACAATTTTTTTTTTCTTCAGGTCAGTGAGATGGCTCAGTGGGTAAGGATGCTTGGTGCCAATCAAGACTGACCCACCTTGGTGGAAGGAGATTTTTTTTGTCTTTTTGGTTTTTCTTTTGGTTTGTTTGATTTTTTTTTTTTTTTTGTCTTTTTGACACAGGGTCTCCCTGTAGTCCCAGCTGACCTGGAACTCACTATGTAGACCAGGCTGGCCTTGAACTCACAGAAATCTTGTCTGCCTCTGCCTCCTGAGTGCTAAGCTGGGAATAAAAGCATTCACCACCACGCCCGGCTGTTTTTCTCCTTTTTAGTAATACAAATTTCAGCATGGTGCTATATGCTTTTCTAGTAGTTGGAGGCTGAGGCAGGAGCCAGCCTGTGCTACATAATGAGATCTTGTCTCAAAACAAACAAACAAACAAACAAACAAACAGGCCATGTGTGGCAGTGCATGCCTATAACCCCTGCACCAGGTAGAGGTAGAAGGACTGCTGCAAATTCAAGGTCAATCCAGTCTACACAGCAAGTTCCATGCTGGCTTGGGCTATATAATGAGATCCTAGTGTGGGTGCACACACCCAAAACAAAACCAAAACCAAAAAACCACCACCCCCTAAAAAAAGGGCTAGGTATGATGGTACACGCCTGGCTAGGGCTACACAGTAAGACCCTGTCTCAAAACAAAGTATTTTCTACCACTATAATTCAATTAATTTATCTGTTTCTCTAAGAAACTACTCAAAAGCTATCAGGTTTTTAAGTAGAATGCCACCAGAACCAAGGTAGACATCGGGAGTGGGGCAGGAACACAATCAGTCTGACACAGTTTCTTGCTCAAAGTTTAGAGACCTCAAATTCTGACTTTTAGACTATGGTAAATTTGCGTATTACCTTGTCACAAACACTAATTCCAACACTGTATTGGTCCTTGTTTATAGGTAAAATATAAAGGTTGGGAAGTAGATCCATTGGTGACAAGTTACCAATTTAATCTGGGCTCAGTGGTTCACACCTCTAATCCCAACACTTGGAAAGATGGGGTAGAATTCAAATTCAGTTTGGGCTGCTGCACAGTGAATTCCAGATCTCTCTATATACCCCAGGCTGGGCTCTATAGAGATTTTGCCTCCAACCCACCCACCAATTGCTAGTATCAGTCAATGAATGTGGAAAGAAAATTCATAAAAATTCATAAGTGCTCCCAGGGCAACATCAATTTCCAACTACAGTGAAAAACAAATACATAACCCATAAGTACAACAAATTTCCCTGGTACTGTAATCTCAGCACTTGGGAGACTGAAGCAGAGGAATTGGTAGACTGAGGACACTCTAGGGCTATATACTAAGCCCCTTTTCCAAAAGTAAATTTCATTCAAAACACAAATCAAAATAATACAAATTCTTTGTTTGTTTGTTTGTTTGTTTGTTTTTGGTCTCCCTGTAGCCCCAGCTGGCCTGGAACTCACTATGTAGACCAGGCTGGTCTTAAACTCAGAGATCCACCTACCTCTGCCTCCCCAATTAAAGAGTGGGCCATCATAACCAGCCAATGATACAAATTCTTAAAAATGATCAAAATCCATGGGCATGGTGGTGCACACCTTTAATCCCAGCACCTGGGAGGCAGATGCAGGCAGAGCTTTGTGATTTCATGGCCAGCCTAGTCTACATAGCAAATTTCAGGCCAGCTGGGGCTATGACTCAAAAAGACCAAATAAAATAAAATAAAATAATTACTGTTTTCAACAGTAATGTTCCAAACTTAAGTCTATTTCTTCTCTTTAACTTAAAAAGTCAAAGATCTAGCTAGGTGTGGTGGTGCATGCCTTTAATCTCAGCACTCAGGAGGCAGAGGCAGGTGGATCTTTGTGAGTTCCAGGCCAACCTGGTCTACATAGAGAGTTCCAGGCCAGCTGGGGATACAGAGAGAGCCTGTCTCAAAAAGACAAAACAAAACCAACCAACCAAAAGAAAAACCAACAATAACAAATATACAGCTATATTAAATCACTTAAAATTTATCTGATAAGGGGCTGGAGAAATGGGTCAGTGGTTAAGTGTACTTGCTGGTCTTATAGAAGACCTGGGTTCAGTTCTAGCATTCACATGGTGACTCACAACCATCCATAACTCTAGTTCCAGGGGATCTGAAGCTCTTTTCTGACTTCTGTGGATATTGCACATATTTGGTACACTTACACATATGTAGGCAAAACACTCATACACATAAAAGAATTAAAAAAAAAAATCTGCCAGGCTGAACATGGTGGCACAGGCCTTTAATCCCAGCACTCAGGAAGCAGAGGGAGGAGGAGCTCTGTGCATCCCAGGCGAGCCAGGGATATATAAGGAGATGCTCTAAAAAACAAACAAACAAAAAAACCTAAAACCACAAACCAAACCAAAACCTCCCAAAACCCAGATATATTGTCCATCAAAACTGTTCTTTACCTGACCAACTGTATCTACTTCCAAATTTAGGTTAGTTAATTCATTTAGGAATTTCTTTTTAAAATTTTTATTATTTTTATTTTATTCTACGTGTATGAGTGTATTGCCTGCATGTAAGTGCACCTGTGTTGTGCAATGCCTGCAGAGGTCAGAACAGGGCATCGGATCCCCTGGAACTAGAGTTACAGCCAGTTGTTCACCACCATGTGGGTGCTGGAAATTGAATTGGGATCCTCTTGCAAGAGCAGCCAGTGCTCTTAACCACTGAATCATCTCTCCAGCCCTGATTTCTTATTTTCTAAGACATTTTCTTAAGAAACAAGGGAAAATTTCAGATGTATTCTGTCATTTAAAAATTACAGTAGGAGGCTGGAAAGATGACTCAGCAGTTAAGAACACTGGTTGTTCTTGCAGAAGAACCGGGTTCAAATCCCAGCACCCACATGGCAGCAAACAACTGTCCGTAACTCCAGTCCCAGGGGACCCAACAGCCTCTTCTGACCTCCGCGGGCATTGCACGACACAGGCGCACTTACCTACATGCAGGCAATACACACATACACATAATATAAATAAATAAATAATTGCCGGGCGTGGTGGCACACGCCTGCCTTTAATTCCAGCACTTGAGAGGCAGAGGCAGGCAGATCTTTGTGAGTTCGAGGCCAGCCTGATCTACATAGTGAGTTCCAGGACAGCTGGGGCTACAAGGAGACCCTGTCTCAAAAAAAGACAAAAAAAAAAAAAAACAACCCCCCCCCCAAAAATATCACCTTGTATATTTGTAGATCTGAACAAAATTTTAAACGTATATAAACAAAAATAGAACTCATACCTTAACATTAAGTGTTAATGCTTGGTAAATTAAACATACTATGTCATGTAGAACAAAATGTTGAGAGAATTTTTCATAAAGTAAATGAGTAACTAAATTAAGTTTCCTGGACACTAAAATAGTCTCTCTGGAAAAAATGTTAAAAATTGCTTCTCTTTGGAATAATAAAAAAATTTTTTTAAAAAAAGAATAAATAAAAAACATTATGTTTAAAAAGAAAAAAAATAGTCTCTCAAGAGACTGTACTTTGGACATGGTAGAAGGATATTACAAAGTGACTATAACAGTTCAATGGCATTATATTTGATCATCAGGAATAAATAAAAAAAATCCTATGAGCAATCACATTTTAGCTCATAGAACTCTTACCTTGGTTTTTTCATCCACAACTCTGAGTCCATCTGCTGATACCCACAGGACTGCTTTCACTGCTTTCTTTCCAGTCTTAAAAAAAGGGGGGGGGAGACACACACACACACACACATATATATATAAAATGTTAAAAAGAAAAGAACTCATCTTCCACAGAAAACAATGACTTCTGCCTTCTAAAAGCCACAAGTACAGATTAAATCCAAGTTCAGGAGGGATCCCGAAAGCCAGATACTCAAACCAAACTGCAGAACATTCAGGAAAAAACAAGCCAAAGCCATTATTTTAAAAACACAATGCAAAACTATAATATAAATTAGGTAAAGGAGAAGGGAAAAATAGAATTAAAACCAAGGTATCACATTCCATAAAGGGAAAGAATTTCTATATTCTTTACTCATTTGAGGAAAAACAACCAAGAAAACTAAGAGTCAGATAAATATTAAATACATAAGGAGTTACACCACAAGTAACTTCTATGGATATATTCGGAGTAGAGAGTTTCAGATAAGTCTGAATCAGTATGCAGACCACCCCACTACCCTCTGACACCTAAGGCGTGTAGCAAGACTCTTGGTCATCTGAAATTTTCTTGTTAAAAATGGCAAGAAACTTTCATTATTCTATAAACAATCCTTTCTTTAAAAACCACTATTTAGCCAGGTGTGGTGGCGCACGCCTTTAATCCCAGCATTCGGGAGGCAGAGTCAGGCAGATCTCTGTGTTCAAGGCCAGCCTGGTCTATATAGTGAGTTCCAGGACAGCTGGGGCTAGAGGGAGACCCTGTCTCAAAAAGGCCAAAAAAAAAAAAAAAAAACAAAGAAAAACAAACAACCCCCCCCAACTATTTATCCCCTCAAGATTAACCTTGATCTGATACAGTTTTTTATTTGTTTTGTTTTGTTTGAAACAGGATCTCCCTGTACTCCCAGCTGGCCTGGAACTCACTATGTAGACCAGGCTGGCTCAGTCTCACAGAGATTTGACTGCCTCTGCCTCCCGAGTGCTGGGATTAAAGAAATATACCACCATGCCCAGCTGGTTTAGTTTTAATTTGACATTAAATGCATGGAACATTTTGAGGGCATAGGAAAATTTAAAAACTATTGAGAAAGTAAGTTTTAAATTTAAATTTTTTAACTGGCTAAAAGACTTTTCTTTTTGGGGGGCAAACAAGAATCACATGAGACTAAGTCAACAATTTATTTCCTCTGTGATGGAACACAACAGTAATTTAATGTCTTTTCTTGACTGCTCTATGGATATAAGCAAAATAAAACAAAAACAGCAAAGGTTGAGAATGGGTATCAGACTATCTTAAAAAGTATAGAGCAAAAGGAGTCTGGTGCTAAGTTTGGAGCCGAGCCTCTAGAAGGAACAAAGAAGAGTAACAAAGCTGCCTACTATTCTCCATTCCATGTGCCAAGCCAGGAATCCTGACTATAGAGGCATGCTCTTCTCTAAATGAGCTGTGAGGATTCACTCCAGGCTCATGACCTCTACTACCACCATACCGGATGAGTACCTGTAACTTGTTAGTGCAAATACACAAAGATCTCACAGATCACTGAAGGGTGATTTTCCAATGACAACAATAAAAATACAGTAGTAAGTGCTAGAGTTGAACAGAAAACAAGGTAGTATGATGCAGAAAGGAGACCCCATCAAATCTCTGTGGGACTGGGGAAGGCTATAACAAGAAGTTAGAACTGGGTTCTGAAATAATTTTTCTCGATGTCTTATGACACGGTTAGGGAGGCACAGAAATGGTGGTGGACATACCAGGCAGAAGAAAACAGAAGTCTAAGACATGGAGGCAAACAGTATGAAATTCTGGGGTCCCTTAAAATATTTCAATATGGCTTGAAAGTAGGATGGGTGAGGAGCAAGGAAGAAAAGTAGGAGGAAAGGCCTAGTCATTGGAGGGCCTTATATGCCTGTGAAAGCACTGGGTCTTAATTCTAAAAGCAATTGAAAGCTACTCAAAGAATCAAACACAATGAAACAGATTTACCATTTATTTTACTTATTTATTTATTTATTATTTATTTATTCACTCACTCATTTATTTATTGATTGATTGATTGAATGGAGGGGAATAAGTGTGCCAAGGCACATGTGTGGAGTCAGAAGACAACTTCTGAGAATTAGTTCTCTCCTACATTGTGAGCCCTGGATATTTGAACTCAGGTCATCAGGCTTGGCAGCAAGTATCTTTTACCTGCTGAGCCATCTCACTGGTGTTAGATTTGCACTTTTAAAGAGATTTTACTCTTGCTGGGTGTGGTGGCACACGCCTTTGATCCCAGCACTTAGGAGGCAGAGGCAGGCTGGTCTACATAGTGAGTTCCAGGACAGGTGGGGCTATGGGGAGACCCTGTCTCAAAAAGACCAAAAAAATTATTACATTTATAGTCCCTAGATTTGCATTTTAAAAACATCACTCTGTAGCAGTGACTGAAGGGTCAGAGTGAGATGGAAGCAAGATGACCACAAGATTCCAGGTGTGGGAAATCAGGGTTGAGCTCCCCTAAGATAGGTAATGAAGTTTTTAAATAGTATAAGGGAGGGGCCGGGTTCCTGGATTGGACCACTGAGTAGAAAGGGCACCCCCAACTAAGATACAGAAGAGATACAAAAGAATTTGAGAGGATGAGGTAGAGATTTCAAGCAGTGTGAGATGCCTGTGCATCAGCCAGGTGGAATTCAGTAGATAAAGTAGGTAAGTGGATATTTAGGTCTGAAGCTCAAAAGAAAACTAAGAATTCTAGATTAGGAGACGTTAAGGCTAGTAGATGAGACAAAGACACTAGAGAACGCCAATAATTAGAGTTAGAGGAAATGAGCAACTCCTTCAAACACCAGAACAGGAATATAGTCAGTGGGACAGAAGAGTGGGGAATAAGTAGCATCCAAATCACAGTAGAGTAATAGAAGTTATGATGGAAAATTTTATACATCAGAATGGCACTGCTACAGTCACCTAGTTGTTTGGTCAAAAAGTAGGCTAAATGTTCCTGTGGCTAGGCATGGTGAGACACATCTGTAATCCCAGCACCCAGGGGGCTAAAGCAGGAGGATCATCATGTATACAAGCCAGCCTGGACTATATAAATTTGAGACCAGACTAATTTACAAGGAAGATCTTGAAATAACAGCAAAAATGGCTGTGAAGATATATGATTAACATTTACAATTAACTGATTTTAGGTAAAGGAGATTAGCTTTTCTTACATGGACAGGTCCAGTCCAATCAGTTGAGAAAAATTTCAATGTGAGTTTGTAACATAGGAATCTTACCTTGAGTTCCTATCCTGCCTTACAAATTTCAGACTTGCCATACTCACAAATATGAGCTGAGTCCCAAAATAATCTCTCTCACATTTGCATGTAAGTGCACAAAAGCACATGTATACCCACACTTACCTGTGGGTCCTACTTCTCTGGGGGACCTGATTGAGGGAGAAGTAGAAATTACACTACAACAGGCTGAGAGTAAATAAATGGCAAGATGAGTCTATAAATACTAACAGTCTCTTTAAAAAGATTTTCTATAGGGTTGGATGTGGTGATTTGTGCTTTAATCCTAGCATTAAAGAGGCTAAGGCAGGTAGATCATAAATTGAAGGCTACTCTGGGATATACAGCAAGACTATGCTAAGTAAACAAATAGACAAAGCCTTTCCGTAAAAAGGAAGAGAGCTATAGGGCAACAGAGGCAGGCAGAGGATCAAAGGACATCTTTAAGATTGTAATAATGGCACTGATTGCTCTTACAGAGGACCTGGGTTCGATTCCCAGCACCTACATTGTAGCTAACAACCATCCATAACTTCAGTTCCAGGGGATTCAATACCCTTTTCTGACCTCCATGGGTATTACATGGCACAGGTGTACTTAAATACATGCAGTACATAAAATGACAATGAAATAAAATTTTAAAAGACTGTAATAAACTAGCATGTTATTGTAGAAACACAACAGGCTTTGGTTCAGACAAGAACAAGTATGAACTGAGTGCTACTCTTCCTAAGCTAAGCAAGTGATACAGCCCCTCTGAGCTCCCATTTCTTTATGTGCAACACGCAGATCTGTTAAAAGGACTAGGGATTATACACAGTACCCTGAGTTTTAAAAAGGTAACATGAAGCTGGGTGTGATAGTGCATGCCTTTAATCCCCAGCACTTGGGAGGCAGAGGTAGGTGGATCTCTCTGAGTTCAAGGCCAGCCTGGTCTACAGAGCAAGTTCCAGGCCAGCTGGGGCTTCAGGGAGACCTTGTCTCAAAAATACTAAAAAAAATAAAAGATGGCTCAGCAGGTAAAAGAGCTTTTTGCTGCATGAGCCCTACAACCTGAGTTTGATCCTTGGAGTCCATGCTGGAAGTAGTCTTGACTCCTGATTCCTGAGCTGTCTTCTGACCACACATGGGCTGTGATATGTGTGCACCTTTACTTACAAACCATACACACACACTAAATAGAAAATTTTTTTTTGGTCTTTTTGAGACAGGGTCTCCCTGTAGCCCCAGCTATCCTGGAACTCACTGTGTAGACCAAGCTGGCCTTGAACTCACAGAGATCTGCCTGCCTCTGCCTCTCAAGTGCTGGGATTAAAGGCATGTGTCACCACACCTGACACTTTTTTTTGTTTTTTGAGTTGTGGTTTCAAATTCATTAGGTGAGTTCTTTTGTTTATATGGTCAAATAAATTTTGCATTGAGATTATTGACAAACTTTTAAAAAAGTTTCCTAATGGCAAAATTTTTAGTTATTTTTGTTCTTTAAATAACAGAATCTCACTATGTAGCTTAGGCTGGCCTTGAACTGGAGGACCTTCTATCTCTGCCTCCCTGGTGCTGGAATTATAGGTAGGCATGACCACTACTCCCACCCAGCTCAGTAAAGCTTCTTGTAAGAGTTACTTTCAATAACAGGGCTGGAGAGATGGCTCAACAGTTAAGAGGTTAAGAGCACTGACTGCTCTTGCAGAGGACCCGGGTTCAATTCCCAGCACCCACATGGTGGCTATGAACTGTCCTTAACTCCAGTTCCAGGGGCATCCAAAGCCCTC